GAACAGCGACGTCAATTAGAGTTTATACTTTCAGAATTATAATTTGCAGCGGCGATGTTTGATCACGATATTGTTCACGTTTCACTGAGTAAAACACTTGTTCGTTCGTCGATTCGACTAAACACTAATTCGAAAGGTAAATTATTCGTTGCTTTCGACGATTAATCGATGAAAACTATTCTAATTTGCCAACTTCGCTGTGCTCTGTTCGGGATGCGAGGCAATGTATTCCAAAGCTTTGAGGATTCCAGCTGGGATCGGATGAGGCGTAGGCAGATGGTCGCCCTTTGGCTGGAAGCCATTCTCGTCGGCGACGTAACTCAAGGCTAACGGGGATCCGTCGCTAAGAGTGTAGCTATACGATCCTTGAACAGCGATCACCGAATTCGTCTCGTTCACCTTCTTCGGTTGCCCGTGTTCTTCAGCTTTGATGCCGTTGCCGGTTTCGTAGCTGAAGGCGTACGAGCCGTCCGGGTTCGGACCGTCCGCGGTGTACGCGACAATGCCGATGGGAGTGGTGTTCTCTACGGGAGCGGCGATCGCCGACACCGCGAAGAGGGCAAAGATGGCGCAACCCTAATGACAATAATTTATTAATATTTTATATATAACTTATTATTCTGCATATCTTTATTATATTTGGCCGACGCAAAAGTTTTGACGATTTCTATAAGAAACAAAAAGAAGAGGTTTTCAAATATTTTGATTGGGGTAATCTATTATATAATTTCCATTGGTTGCTGTTACCCTCTCATCTTTCTATATACTTATTTATTCCATCATTGTAAAATTGTGATTTCGAAGAGAAAAATTAATTCAGTGATATTACTTTCAACAAATGTCAACATGTTTGCATCAACCTATATATATATATCTGTATATATCTGTATATAGGATTTTGGCTTACAATTTTTCATACTTTTAAATTTCGTTTTTTGCATTCGTACCTTTTACCCACAAATAACTAACTTATCCTAAGTAACACACTACACAACCTCCCTAACGCTATATAAATATTCTAAAATATTATATATAATTGAGTAACGATTTATATATAATTTATTAATTTGCTAAATTTAATATTTTCTTTTCTTTAATACAGTGTTATGGGTGGAGTAAGTAACAGGTTGTTCAAAGAGTTTCGTCGTATTGTTAAATGAAGGTTAAAGAAAAATTTCACTCTATCGAATTAAATTTTATTGAACTATGTTTTCCGTATATTATTCCAAAATTTCCTATTGTATTTTAGTTTATCTATTTACAATAGATTAATTTATTAATTTTTAAAACCTTTCAAACTTGCAACGGAAACTATTTTTTAGTCTTTATCGAAATAATTAATAATGATTTCTAAAAACGTGCGTGTCTAAATTTGTACACGTGTAATTGTTGAATGGATTTTCAAACGATACAAACGTTATGTTTTGAAAAGTAATAATGCATAAGGTATCTAAGTTTTGTTAGCATATTTTAAAAACAAATATATCTTTATATAATTAAAAACTTTTGATTAATAAAAAGCGAACAGATTTTTTAAAATGAATTTACATCAAAGTAGATGATTATGTTAGGTTCCTATGATTATTCATTTATTTATAGATCAAAATATTACATAGTTACCAATTAAAATGTTACAACCACACACACAACAAATAATTTGCTACCGTTATAAAAGACTACGGTTAAACAATAATATACAAAAACGAACAGACTACGGAAATACCAAATTTTTAAAAATTTAAAACATAAAATATATTACTCTTTTTATCTTCATGAAACGTGTTAAGTTTCACGTACCAATGGAAAAACATTTACATTACGTGATGATCTTTCCAAACTACCGGCTGAATTAGTTCTTCTCGCAGTGTAATATGTAATTCACACGTTGCAAAAAAAAATCAAACCGCTCACGAAGTTCATAAGATAAAATCACTTGAACGTATAATACTTGAAATAATAAAATATTTTCGTGTAGAGTAATTGGAATAATCTGTTATCTCTGCGAAACTTACCAAAGTGTTCATGATGACCAGAGATGTTTTCTCGTTGTAAAGAGCAAGTCTAACGAGCGGGTTTATATACTGCTGCCGAAACCTTGCAAGGTGCGAGGACCTCCCTCTCATTGATAGATTTCTGGCCGAAGCTTAGACACTGGCAAACATTACGAAATTTTCAGGGGGGTCTAATAGAGGGGCACTCCGAACACTGACCACAGTACAGACACGCGACGTCTCGTCAGCGTGTAACACAGTGTCCCTGCGACATGTTCATGAAGCTTCTCGGAAACAAATTTGCAATTTCGTCGTCTTGATAATCTGCGGTTAAAGAAAGTTCCTGCAACCTCGTTACGTGAGTATAAATTAAATGATTCCATCCAAAAGGATTGAAATGTTTGAAACGTTTTGAAATTTTTAAGCATTTTCCTGGTTATTTTCTTATTTCGTATCATTCATCCGGAACCTAAATATTTAGTGAAGATATTATAATTCTGTAAGAGGCTCTTGGAAATATCGTTATTGCATGTAAACGTAGATTTCGTCAAATTTGTAACGATCTCGTTGGTAATAGTTTCCTATCATTCAATGGAAGAGGGAGGAGTACGCTTTTCCTTGTGAATGAAATGAAAAAAATATTGGATGGTCAAGCACGTTTGCGAAAGAAATTGAAAAATTATTAAAAAGTGAAGCATGCTTATCAAAGAAATTGAAAAATGATTGAAAGGTGGAGTATGCTTATAGGAAAAGGTGGGCAGTGTATCGGTTATTGAACGTAACGATAAGTATAGATTTCTTTATGGATAAAATTGAATGCACGACGCCAGTCGCGAGATCACCTGATTAATTGAATTCTCTAAAATGGTGCACATTTTCTGAATTAAACGTGGAGAGGACTCACCACATAAAAAATTTGAGAGTTTTTCAAGAAACCAATTCGTTTGAGTGATTTGATTGAACTTTGTTTCATTAAATTTTGCTCGGTCAAGTACTTAAAACTGTTCAAAACAGAATTTAATAATTACATAAATAGACTCTATTAATTTAAAATTGCTATAACACTGAATTAAAGAAACATAAGCGCAGATTGCCTTTACTAGAAGAAAAATATGTGTGAGCGTTTTGTTTGAACTTGGTTTCATTAAATTTTGTTCAATTGATTAATCAGTTGATTTAGTGATTGATTATTTAAATTTACTCTATTAATTTAAAATTTCAATGACACCAAATTTTAGAAATACAATTGCACATAGTTTCCAATAAAAGAAGGAAATGAGAAATATATATGTGAAGTTTATTGATAAAATGTTACTGTTGTTACGAAAATGGGACACTTCGTGAAATCAAAAATTTAACGGAAACGTGAAGAAATGTACAGTAACGGGAAGACAAAAGGAAAAGTGCCACATGTCATACTTTTAAATAAACCTTGAAAGCCTGCCAAATATGGAATTCGTTTACAATGCTTCCATTGACCCGGTGATCCCTTTGTGCGAATTTTCGTATTTCGTGTGTGCTATAAATTCAGCCCTGTAACAAATTTCTGGAGCCTTGGGTAGTGCACGCGAATCGAATACATAAGTTAATTTATCCTCCACCGTGCAAGGGACTGACTGCCAAATTTTTTTTGCAGGAAACCATGCATCGCTCGTTTAGTAATTTTTATATCCACAGAATGACGTTATGTTTAACTGTCGCGGATCGTAGACTAACATTGTCCTTGTTTCTGTCTTAACACTAGAACTGTATACGTGTCCACTAAATTCACTGATTTTATCGTAGTTTCCTTATTTTATAATTACTTATAATAGTAATTACAAAATTTATATTTTCATTTATATAACATACTGAGTATCACACAAGAACTTAATACAATTTTGATACAAGTACATATAAATAATTTTAAAAATTCGACAAACTTACTCATAAAACTCTCGTCAACTTAAATTAATCTTAAACTATTTAAAATCTATTAAATTATAACACATTAAAATATAAAATTACGAAAATATAATTATAAACTATTGTGGTATAAAATTACGAAAATATAATTATAAACTATTGTGGTAT